CTGGCGTTACTTCACAAACCACTCCCTCTGCAAAATGCCAGGCGCCATCTTGACTTGTTTACAGACTCTAACAGGACTAGCCGGCCCCTGGTACCAGGTCACACGTATTGGAGCATTTTTGTCCTGTGATCATGGATGTTTCATCTGGTTCTCATTCTAGTCTGTCTCAGACGTGGGCCCAGGTGACTTCTGTGCACTATATCAGTTATCATTACATCACTTGACTCCTGTGACCCATTAGGTAGGAATGAACAGTCCCATTTCATGGCGAGAAAACTGAGATTCAGGGAGCACATTTGTTCTGCAGATGTCTGCATCCACCTGCTCTGTGGAGGCTGGGGGCTGGGTGTGGGCAGCCTACAGGCCCCTTGCAGGTGTGATGTTTACTTAAGCTGGGAAGGGCGGAGCTGGCAGCAACCAGACAGATAAGATAACATCGTATAGCAACAAGTGCCCCAAGAAAATGAGGCAGGCGGATGGCCAGGGAGGGACAGGCAGGACTGACCGTGGAGCCGGCGAGGCTGGAGACGCCTCCCAATCCAGACTGGGTGAGCGGGAGCCAGCGTGTGTGTGGGTGGGGGGCAGTGCAGACAGAGGCCAGTGGAGTGGGCACAGACAGCAGGCAGTTGTCCCCTCGAGTGGCCATGAGCAATCACCCAGGGCAGGTGCAGGAAGCCAGCCAGGGCCAGGAGCGAGGCTCACGCCACCAAGGTGTGGGGCCTGGGCAGTGTTTTAACCGCACAGGAACAGGGACTCTTATGACGGATTGCTGTCACTAGAAAGAAAGGCCACTCTGGCAGCCAGCTGGAAGGGGACTGCAGGGTGAGGTGGGAGCTGGAGGCCTGTTAAGAGGCTCTGGCAGTCCTCCAGTGGAGAGAGGCCGGTGCAGCCCAGGGCAGAGTGGAGGGGGAGGGGGCAGAGAGCCAGCCTGGGGGAGGGCCAGAGGTCAGTGACAGTGAGGATTAAGGACTCCTCGTAGGGTTTTGTCTACTAACTGAGATGGAGGGACTTTTCCAAGGTCCCGTAGCAGGCAGGAGTCCAGACCAGCATGCACCCGGCCCCAGCCTATGCCACCCTGGCCCTGACCCTGCGCTGCAGACTATAGCATCAGACCCCTGGCTCCTGTGTCCCTGCCACCCCTGCCAACTGGGCTGACCCGTTATCCCTTTTGTTACACCAGGGAAAGCCATCACCAAGAAGAAGTACATAGGGATCCGAATGATGTCACTCACGTCCAGGTGGGTAAGCAGGAGCGTGTCTGCCTGCATTGAGGTAGCCCCGAATCCCACCAGGCTGGCACCCCCCTGAGAGAGAAGCCATCTCAGCTCCTGCTCAAACTTAATCACACTGGGAGGAGCAGGCTGTTGCCTGGCCCTCTGGTTTGTTCCCCCTGTTTCTGTCCTCTGGAGGACTCTGCCTGCGCTCGGACGCAGCCTGAACGGGGCTGGCCCCGCGCTCTCAGGCCGCCCTCTCAGCACTTGTTCTGTTGAAATCCACATTCCAGGAGTTCCCCACGCGCCCGCCCAGCCCCAGAGCACCTGCCTCTCCTTGGCCTTGAGGCCGTGGGCCGAGGCGGGAGGAATGCCAGGGCGACCAGGGAGCCAGGGACATGGTGACTGATGGGCGTGTTCTCCTGCCTGTTGCCAGGCGCATGCCAGCTGTAGGGGGAACCTGGATGGGAAAGGGGTATCTGTCCCCGCCCCAGCGCAGCAGGAGCCCAGTGGCAGGAAGCAGGACGCATTCACAGACATGTGGCTCTATTACTAGCTCATCCTCACTGTTAGCACATTGTGATGCGTGTTTTGGATGATAGCACCTTCCTTAGCGGTCCAGAAGATGGGACGGTTTTCCAAGATTAAAGTCACCCAGTTACTTATCTCTGGAACCAAAGAGGCCGGGGTGCAAGGACAGAGCGCAGGCTGAGTGGTCTGGCTTCCCAGCTCTGACGCTTCCCAGCTGTGACCCCGAGTGCTCAGGCCTCTTCTAAGATGAGGATAGCAATGCAAGTGTTCCTGCTCTGCAGCCAGGTTTGGCTCCGTGAGCGGTGGCAACTGTCACCAGCCACAGTGACTATCATATGCTTACTCTGTGCCAGGAACTGGGTTGGGCACCTTACCTTGATGGCCTCATCTGAGCCTCATCACAACCTATGCCCTAGAGTACCATTACTAGCCCCATGTTGTAACCGAGGAAGCAAAGACACAGAGAGGTTAAGCAGTTGCCCAGGGTAACACAGATAGCAAATAGCAGAGCTAGGGCTGTAGACCAGGCCAACCATTAGACTGTCCTGCTCCTTCAGGGTAACTGCTATTAACTGACTGATAAATAACAGGAATAATAATAATCAAGTGCTTCCTTACTATCACATAGTAAACCTTTGACTCTAGTAGTAGAATTTAAAGTAGAATTGGAACTCTCGAAGGCATTTTACTTAGGACTTGGGGCAAAAGGTGAGTGTCAGCAGAGGACAGTCTGTTGGTACTTAATGTTAACACGAGTCCTTCTCTCCCGGCAGCAAAGCCAAAGAGTTGAAGGATCGCCACCGAGACTTCCCTGACGTGCTCTCGGGAGCCTACATCATTGAAGTGATTCCTGATACCCCCGCAGAAGCGTGAGTGCCACGTGCTTTCCTGATCTCCTCACGGAGCAGTGCTGTCTTTATACTGGCTCAGTGACTGTGTCCTCTCTTGATAAATGTGGTCACGGTCAGCCAGGTCATCTGATCTGGTCCGGAGCAGGACTCATTCGTGGAAGGGCATTTCCTGCCTTCCAAGGTCCTCGCTTCCCTCGGGGTCATCAGGTGGGAAGAGCCAGAGCAGGCTCTGCAGGAGTCTGGGAAGGCTGGCTGGGAGAGAGGGTCCATGCAGCTGGGTCCCCACGACCTCAGGACCTGTCAAAACCTTTAGAAGAGTGACCCCAGTGACATCAAAGCCACACGAAAGAAGTATCTACGTCAGTGGTCAGGGTGGGTGACCTGCACTGAGGGAGGGTAGGACCGCAGAGCAGGCCCGGAGGTCACCTGGCCCACTGCCTGCTTTCCTATGGTCCATGGGCTGAGATGACTTTTGCATCTTCACTTAGCTGTAGATATTCCAAGGCAATGATAGTAATTTGTGGCATGTGAAAATGATACGAAATGCAAATATCAGGGTCTACAAGTGTTTTCCTGGAATTCAGCCCATTAGGTTACAGACCGTCTGTGGTGGTTTTTGTGTTGCTGCGGCAGAGTCGTAGCAAGACAGACGGAATGGCCTGCGAAGCCCAGATCATTTCCTATCTGGCCTTCTATGAGAAAAGTTTGCACCAGACCATGAAGGGCCACGACGGCATAATGACACTGTCATACAGGAGCTAAAGTTGCAGCTCCAGCCTGTGGAGGAGGTGCCTCCTAAGAGAAGCATTTGCCCATCCTGAAGGAATTGTTCTCTGGGCCGCAAGGCTCATTATAAGCAATTTGGCCACGGTCACAGTGTGTGGCACATGGGACCTAATGCATCCTTGCTCCCTTTGGTATGTCGTAAGATTACAGGAATGCCGAAGGGACATAGGAATTTCTGCCATGATTGAGGATTTGGCCTGTAAATCTCAGAAGGAGATACAGGGCACGGGTGATTTAAAGTCACCCTTTCCTGAATTCAACCCACACCTGCTCACCCTGGGCCTTTTGGTGCTGTGCTGGGCCTCTGTTGATGTAGAGTTAAACTATGAGGAACAGCAACTTGACCCTTGTGTTTCCTGTGCGTTGCAGCGGTGGTCTCAAGGAGAACGACGTCATCATCAGCATCAACGGACAGTCGGTGGTCTCGGCCAATGACGTCAGTGACGTCATTAAGAAAGAAAATGTCCTGAACATGGTTGTTCGCAGGGGCAATGAAGACATTATGATCACAGTGATTCCCGAAGAAATCGACCCCTAGGTGGAGGCGTGAGCTGGGCTTCACTTTTCCCTCAGAGACTGCGGTGGACCATGCGTGAAGACCCTGGGCTGGTGGCATGGCGTACCCGGGACTTTGGACCGCCATTTTGTTTGTTCAGTGGAAATGCCCCAGCCAACAGATTCCTTCCTGATAGTGTTCAGGCAAAACAAATGTAATGTTGCAGATTCTCAGGCAGAAGCTCCGCCCTTCTGTACCCCATGTATGCAGCGTGCTTTATCTTGCCAGCTTGGGCTCTTCCTGCTTAGACAGTCAACACCTGTCTCCTCCTTTAACCGAGTCATCGTGTTAGTCCAACTAATGCAGTTGACGCATTGTGTAGATAAGAGGAAGGCCTCGCAGGAGCCAGAACAGTCCTGGGCATGTTCGTGCTTTCCTCTGAGTCAGCACCCAGAGACCATGGATGGGTGGATGCTGGCTTCCGAGACGGCCAAGTCCCTCTTTTAGGAATCTTCAGAACTGGGAGTGCGATGACTCTTGAGTTTGAGCTATTAAAATACTTCTTCATACATTGCTCTCTGGTGTGCTTCTTTTAACAGCTGGTTGCAGTCTTTTGGAAACAATCATAATGTCAATGGCTCCTCATTAAACCACAATGTCCATGCAGGGTTGGGCTCTCAGTCCTACCAGTTATTTCAAAACTATCCTTTCGGATTTACCCGAGTTATACAACCCTGCTTGGCCAACCGCTTTGTGATTGAGGGCCGCAGGACAGTTCTGCACACATCTGGAGCTCTTCTAACTAGACAGAGGCTGTTGACCTCATATATCATGCAATCAGTCAACAAAGATTTTCTAGGCCTCTGCTCTGTGCCAGGCCCTGGGCCAAGTGTGGAGGGCTGGCCAGAGCAGGACAGAGGCAGGACAGTCAGCTTCGACTGAGAAGCCAGTTCTCTTCCTGGAAGGCAGTTTGGGAGAGCAGGATAATCCCAGGACTGACCCCTTCTAAGTCCCCAGAATGTACAGGGCTGCGGCCCACCCCATTTGTCCTGGGTCTGCAATAAGAACTAGACCTCAAGCCGCAGAGTTTGGGGCGGTGTTTCTCGGCAGGTGTGACTGCAACAGGTGCAGCCTTGAGAGCTGGAGGGCACCTTTCCTTCCAGGGAGGACTTCTAAGAGTGTGGGAAGCTGGACCCAGGAAGGCTCGGGCTGGGATGTGTGCACAGGCCTGGGTCCCTGTGGGGAGCACACACCAGGGGGAAGGCTTCTTACACCGACCACTGCCAGGCAAAGGTGGTGTAGTCCTTGGCCGTCAAGCGTCTTGGCTGGGGCTGTGGCTCAGTGGTAGAGCACTCGCCCAGCATGTGTGAGGCCCTGGGTTCAATCCATAAGTAAATAAAGGTGTTGTGTCCATCTACAACTAAAAAATATTTTTAAAAAGTGGGGGGGCCTTGCACTAGAGGGAGGTCCAGGTCCCAGGCCCAAAGCTTAGTTCTTCCCCCGCCAAGAGTTGCGTAAGGCCCAGGTACCTGGAGAGGGTGTGGGAGGCCAGGAGGCTGAGTCAGTGCGGGGCAAGCCTGTTCAGCACAGCCCAGGTCAGCGCGGCTGCTGAGCCGCTGGGGCCGGGGCAACCCGGGCTGTTTCACTCTCTGCTCTCTCCGAGTTGCTGTGCATTCTCTTCTCCCGTAAAGGTGACACCTAGAATGCCCTGTGGCTTCTGGGTTTGTCCTCAGGTGTGTCGCATGTGGCTGACCCTCTGGGGGTCCCTGGGCTGTGCTGCTGCCCTGTGGGGATGGTGCACCGGGTGGTGTTGAGGCCAGGGCCAGCCCTGGCCGGAGCCCGTCGTCTCCAGCCTGTTTGGAACTTGGGAGAGCACAGAGGGTTCTGCTGGGGAACCCACCTGTGACCTGCCGAGTCCTGAACACCCAGCCATGTCCATCTCCCTGGGGCCCACAGGGCGCTGGGTGAGGTCAGAGCCCGCCTGTTCTTCTGTGGTCACATGCAGGGCCACAGAAGGGGCCACTTAGAGCGTGATGAGCACTTCCAAATTTGGGTTCATGGCTGGACTGACTTGGGGACCCTGTGTCCTGTGGGGCTTGCTCATCCTGACACCCCCACCCGCGTGCTCAGAGACTGTCATGGGACCTCAGGACAGTGGCTTCTGCTTACTTTGGGCCGTGATAGGCTTTTGGCAACATGAGTTAGCCTTAAAACCTGGGAAGCAGAGCACTGAGTTGGAAGAAAGCAGCTTTCGAAGCCAGATGGACTTGGGTTTAAATCCAGTGTCTGCATATTCCTGGCTGCGTGACCTTGAGCAAGTTGCTGAATGTCTCTGGGCTAATTTCCCATGTGTAAAATGCAGATATAATTATACTTATTTCCTTCAGTTCCTGGGGTGATTAAATAAATAAATATATGGTGCCCATAGTAGGTACTCGATAAGTGTTAGGGACATGTTAATTAATGCTGTTGAGCCTCAGTCTCCCCCTGTGTAAAATGAGGACTGAGATAATACCAGTAATAATGAGGAACGGTAGTAATAGTGGTAATTATTATTTGGTGCTGCTGTGGCACCGGAGCATGAGCTAGACACAGCCACGCTCATTTTATCTTTGTTGTCCTGCCACGGTTCTGGTCGGCAGGGACACATCGGCTCACATCTGTGAGAGCTTCTGCTGTTGACGCCGTCCTGAGCACTGAACGCTTCTTGGCTGGCCTCTCTGTGGTTTGAGGCAGGTGCCATGTCTATTCCCATTCATCCGGTGAAGAAGGGACACTCAGAACCGAGGCACCTTGTCCCAGCCACGCAGCTTGGGACAGCCATGACTGGAGCCCATGAACTCTGAGCCCGTGGCCTCTGCGTGGTACCACTGGCCATTGTCCCCTAAAACCACAGCTCAGGGTCTCAAGTAAACCCTGAGGACCCCTGGTCCCAAGTGAACCCCCCCCCTGGGTGCCCTCTGCTTCTGTGAGGGTGATCAAGGGGCTGCAGACTCAGAGCCCCTGCTCATTTTGGGGTCTTTCTGAGCCCTCTGATGGGGGCCAGCAGCTGCCCCCTCTGTCTCCTGGGAGCCCTGCCTTGTCCCAGGGCACCCTCACCTGTACTCGCCCAGTCTCAGCCCCGTTGGTCCCAGTCCTCTGCTCTCAAGCTTTTGCCAAACTGCAGGTGATGCCAGTCACCCGGTGACGGTGGCCAGGCTCCAGGAGCACCGTGCATTTGCTGGCCCCTCCCCCTCCAGGCCTGCCCAGTGCTTCCCTAGGTGCACTGCCGGACAGGGCCCCAGCGAGCATCTCCCCACGGTCCTTGAGGCGCAGCTGAGTGGGGTTGAGGCCCGTGACTCTGTACGGGGCCCTCCGTGTCCCCACCTGAACACTCGTGTCTGGTGGTGTATTTATCAGAGCTTGTGCAGGGCTTGTCCCCACCGGGCTGCCGTGTTAGGCCAGAGACCTGTGGCCGCATTGTTCTCTGACATGCAGCAGGGGCCCTGTCTGGTGAGTGGACCCTCCAGGTTCAAGGCTACGGTGAGAGCTGCCTTCCCTGAGGTGGTGGCCCGTGAGGCCAGAGTCCAGGTGGACTCTCCTGGTCCTCCCGCCACCACTGATCTCCCTTGGGGCTGAGGAATGTCAGGACTGGGTTAAAGAAGCTTTAAAGACAAGGGTGTCAAGTCCCACTGTCAGACCCTGTCATTGTACTGGGTGTGGCCTGGCCTGGGGCTCCCTGGGCGAGTCCAGAAGGCAGGCCAGGCTGAAGAGCAGGCTCGCCGCTGCCGCCATCCTCCCCCAGCCGCCCCTGAAGGTGGGAATCGGCTCCTGTGACCCTGGGCTGCCTGCACCTGGGAGAACCGCCTGCCGCCAGGTGGGAGCTGGCTGCTCCCTCCCTGCTCGCCCTGGGCTGCTCAGAACCGCGGTGCTGTTGGTGTGGGTGCACATCCTGGGGCCCCTGTCAGGCAGTTCCAGGAGGGGAGAGGTGGTGAGAGTGGGCTTCGGGTCCGGAGCTGATGGGGCGTGAGTGGTGTTAACAAAAGGGACGCGGTGACGAGCAGGAGGTAACACTGGGAGAGGAGCAGCACCCCGTACGCCACGTCCAAATATTGTGTGGGCCGAGCGCAGTACGGGCATCCGACACAGCCCTCGTTCAAGCCGCTCCTAACTCTGGGGAGTGGTGTTCTTGTGATCCCACCCTGCAGATAAGAGAACTGAGGCTCAGAGTTTAAGCACCTTGCCACGGTCACCCACTGGACGCTGGTGGAGGTGCCTGGGTCTCTAGGGAAGGAGGGTGGCAGGGAGCATGTGGGGGTGGTAGGGACCCAGGCCTCTCTGGGCCAGGGTCAGGAGCACAGTGCTGAGCCCTGCCTGGCCCCCAGACCTTCAGGAGCAAGTCTAAACCCTCCCAGGTTCCCGCCTTCCCCTCCTGCCGTGGTCCCTGCTGAAGGATGCTGTGGTGATAGGAATTCATTTCCCTCCTTCCCCGGCTGCTCTGTCCCCGCTCCCTGTCCCCCGCACGGCAGCCCCGTCTTCGCCATCCCCACTCCAGGACGGGGATCTCTGTCCATTTGGCTCCCCTGCCAGGAGCCCAGCTTCTCTGCCTCTCAAAGGGTCAAACGATCAAAGCTCTAAAGCCCTCTGTAAGGGAGAGGGACATGGAGGGGGCTGAGGGAAGCTTTAGAGGCAGTTAATGGTTTTGAGGAGGGAGGAAGGGACCCAAGGAGCAGGCAGTGGTTCAGTTCCTCTGGGTTCTAGAGAGTCCCTGACAAGTGATGGGAAGGTGACGGGGTGGAGCTGTCGATGAACAGAGGGGGTTTACTGTCTCCCAGGTGATCCCTGGAGCTGCCCCAGAGAGGAGAGAAGAAGTCACGAGGTGTGGTGCCCACTGTGACCCTCGTCTCTTCTTTCCCCCGTGGTCAATCTTTCCTGGTTATTTGATTAGGTCCCACAGCAGCTGCCCTCTTCCTGGGAAGGGAGCGCCCCTTAGTTAGACAAGGGCAGACTTCAGAGAAATTCAGAGAGCGTCTTCACCTTCCTTAAGAGAAAGTAGTTCAAAGATGAGGGAGAAATGGGGACGCTTTGGGTCAGGAAGGTTAGAGAGACCTTGGTCTGTGTGTTCGATTGAGCACAAGGGGACACAGAAGTGCCCGGAGCTGGCCAGAGGCAAAGCCACCAAGGACAGCTGTACTGCCCCCGCAATTATCTAGCTCCATAAAACAGTGAAGGTCATGGACACTTGGGGCTTAAAAACTGCATTTGCGAATGCGCACAGGAGGCTTGAGGGTTCCCATACCACACTGCCTCCCTCCTTCCCTCCCTGCTCCGGCCTTCGCAGGCCCTGTCTGCTCTGCAGGACAACCTGCCCATCACAGATGTCCCCAGAAAAGTTGCACAAGCCCCATGTGGTCCTCCCTGGGCACCCCACTCTCAGCCCTGCAGAGGGGTCCCTGGTGGCAGGTTCCTCTCCCATTTCCAGGCCTGCCAGAGGGGGTGACATCACCCACAGAAAGGGGTCTGACCGCCAGGCGAGATGCTGTTCTTGGAATCGAATGTGTCTGCCATGGAAACACACAGTGGAAGGGCCCCGT